AAATGGCTTTAACACATTTATAACTGGCTGTTTTCATGATATAAACCTTAGTTTACCCTCTGGTAATTTGGCAGTTTGCTATGGAAAATGACCCATTTATAGATATTTATAATTGATTTACCTATTAACTATTAAAGATGATTTTCCATAGCAAAGTGTTAGATTTCCAGAGGGTAACAGAAGGGAAAATCATGGGAAATGGCCAAACAAACAGGATTATAACATGTTTAACAGGTGATTTCATGACATAACCTTAGTTAAAATTTGGATTTTGTGCGGATCATTGATAATACTTGGTGAGCGAATATAGAATGTAGACTAAAAGATGTACCAATGATTCACTGATCACTATTATTACATCTGATTGGGGATGATAATGGGATATCATTACAACACATTATCACCAATATGTAAATGGGACAAAGGGAAAATGGAAAAAAAAACGTGGGCCTTATAGAGGGAACATGACCATGGGTAAATGGGAAACATGGAAAATGTAAATGTCTATTGACATGCATCATCAGATTTGGCGTTTGCAGTTCTGGCCCTTAAGAGGGCCTTAAATGGGATGCAACATAGGATGAAAAAAAAACATCCTGCAACTATAGTTGGTGACAATTATCACCGACACTGAAATTGTTTGAACCAGTTATAACCGTTCAAAGGGGCTTTAACTGTGGAAAAAAAACATTGGAACTGTTTTTGCCATATGCCATGAGGAAAGGCAGAAGATTTGTCATGGCTTATCAATGCTTATTATAATATATCAATACATGCTGTCTCAAGTTAAAGTACTTTCAATAGTATATGTATAGACTGTGTAATCGCAAAAAAAACATTCTGTAACATGCATACGTACATACCAAAACGATGGATAAAATGCACGTACAACGTCATTTACCCAAAGCACTAGCGTAATTTCGATTTGTACACACATGAATATCAAGGTCAATTGTAGCAATTGGCAGGTACTATTGAAAGACCTACATGTTTGCATGAGTTGGCATGCGCAGTTGGCACCAAATTACGTGGTAAATAAAATCCCAAGTACATCAACCGATTGTTGTGATCGCAGTGGGTAATCTCAAAAATAGCAATGGCATTCTACCATGTAACAAAAAACAAAACGAATCATGGCGAAACACCAAGCATCACCGAACTTTGTCCACAAATCCGTTACCAACAAATGACATGATTGCAGTAATTATATTAAGTGTTCCTATTAGGCAATAATTGTCTGCTTAATCTACTGCTACTGCTACTAATTGCTGCTCGCAATGTATTAGTACTAGTATTCCAGCAAAAGGAGAAACCAGAAGAAGCTCAAAGCATCCTGCCAGACTAGAAAAAGGAGCTGAGAGGATCATGCATCGAAACCAACCGCAAAGATATGAAGCGTCTTACCGCTACTACGACTACGACTACTACGACTACTACTACTACTACTACACTACTACTACTACTACTTCTACTACTACTACTACTACTACTATTACTACTACTATTACTACTACTACTACTACTACTCCTACTCCTACTCCTACTCCTACTACTACTACTACTCCTACTACTACTCCTACTCCTACTACTACTACTACTACTACTGCTACTACTCCCAGCAATAACAATGATAACTAGTACTAGTTTCCAGTATTACAACAAAACAAAGATTCAAAAGGAGCTCAAGGCATCCTAGGAAGAAGGGACGGGGAGCAAGGCATACCCGGCGCGGAAAAGTAAGTCCTTGGCCTCTTGGGACTTGAACTGGTGGCTGCCAATAGCATGGCGGCGGTACCGATTTTCCAGATTCATTGGCGCAATTGGGGGTGGTCCGGTTGACACAGTTATGGCCCTAAACAGGTATAAATGGGATGAAATCACTCCTATAACTAAGGTTCTATCATGAAATCAGTCAACTATAATTCCATCATTTGGTCATTTCCCATCATTTTGACATAAGTTTCTCATCTGTTAAGGGACATAGATGCACGTTTCTTCCACTCAAACACCACATTTTTTGCGACCAAGCGACACCGCCAAGACCGCCAAGCATTGTCCATAGGACTGGCACTGCTCGGCAGGGAGCACAAAGCCAAGACCCGTATCCTTGGATAAATGACAGCTCAATGGGAAAATGACGATGGGTAAATGGGGAAAAACATGGAAATGACATATTCATGGGTTTGTAAACCAACAGAAACAACTGGGGATACCCAAAATGGATGGTTTATAATGAAAAATCTCAAAAACAAATGGATGATATGGGGTACCCCCTTTTCAGGAAAAACATTTGGGATAAATGATAGTTAAATGGGAAAATGACCATGGCGTGGTTTGGTGAAGTATCACCGTGGTGATTTGGTGTTTGCACTTCTGGATCCTATAAATGTCGGTGGTTATATCACTTAAATGAGGTTGTCTGAGCAATCTGAGCAATGCTTCAGGGCAACAACTGTGGAGCACCAAAATAGTTCGGGGTTTATACTAACATGTACCAACCACTATATATATATAAGTTGTGTATATATATAATGTATATATATATATATATAATGTATTTATATATATATAATGTAAGTATATATAATGTGTATATATATAATGTATGTATGTATGTATGTATGTATGTATGTATGTATGTATGTATGTATGTATGTATGTATGTATGTATGTATGTATGTATGTATGTATGTATGTATGTATGTATGTATGTATGTATGTATGTATGTATGTATGTATGTATGTATGTAGTATGTATGTATGTATGTATGTATGTATGTATGTATGTATGTATGTATGTATGTATGTATGTATGTATGTATGTATGTATGTATGTATGTATGTATGTATGATTATGTATGTATGATTATGTATGTATGATTATGTATGTATGATTATGTATGTATGATTATGTATGTATGTATGTATGTATGTATGTATGTATGTATGTATGTATGTATGTATGTATGTATGTATGTATGTATGTATGTATGTATGTATGTATGTATGTATGTTGTATGTATGTTGTATGTATGTATGTATGTATGTATGTATGTATGTATGTATGTATGTATGTATGTATGTATGTATGTATGTATGTATGTATGTATGTAGGTATGTACGTCTGTACGTATGTACGTATGTACGTATGTACGTATGTACGTATGTATGTACGTATGTATGTATGTATGTATGTATGTATGTATGTATGTATATATATATATATTATAATATATATATATATGGGAATGTCACAATCCATTAGCGGACTGATTTCTCCAAATTTCCTGTGTTTTCCTAAAATTTGACGGGGTTACTGTATCTATTTGTCAATGTTATCTAAGAACTAGGAGGAACCAAAGCATATATTTAGGGACTCGTGGTGATTTCAAGGACCCCCAGTGATGACAAGGCATGTTTCCTTTGATGTATTTACAAGCGCTACGCTGGACCAAAGACAGAAAGTTTAAAGTGCAGCCACTGGCTGAGACAGAGTAAGAAAAAATCATTCACCACAATTCAAACACAGAACTGGCCGCGAGCATTGAACAATCCACCACATAGTACTACTAATTTGCGGCCCTGAATTTGAGATGGTGATGGTCCTCTAAGACAGACAAAAGCCCATTTGCATCCATTTGCATCATCCTCCCTGATAGGGACGGAACCTTAGAATAGATTGGAGATAAAGAAAAAAACGGCTTGCAAAACAAATCAATTCGCTAAATCAATTAGTACAAAATCCACTTCGTATTGACCAGCGAATTGTAGTAGTAGTAGTGCAAAACAAACAGCAACAAATCAATACCACTACGATTCGCGACACCATCCAATCGCACGCTGGATTCCGCTAGATGATTCAATCGAACGCCACGGGAAAACGACATTGCCAGTTGCCTTGCTTGTCCTGTTGTGGAAGAAACTAGATGGGGATGGGTCAAAACCCTATCCCCCTGGTGAACATCAAAATAGCTGGTAAATGGATGGTCATTCTCCTAAAAATGGTATTAATAGGTATTGACCCATACCCAGATAACTAGGTCATCTGACATACTTGCAATGTGGGGCCCCCGTTCGATAGCCAAGTTGGTGAACATAAACGCAATAACTGTTGGGTTTATGGTAGTTCGAAGGAACTTGATATAGAGGGGCTTATAAACCAACAAACATAACGTAGCGGGGGGGGCCCACATTGTAAAGCATCTTGAAGTGATAAGTCTGGTTCTCCGATGCCAAAAATACCAACCTCTTACTTGTCCAGTGCGGAGTCGCCTTCCATCAGCCCGTCCAAGTTTCTTACAAATTTGCAACATGAAACCAAGTTTCTGATGAAATGCAATCCAAGAATCTACAATTATGGCTCTTAGCAGTGATAACTGGCTTCTTTCATTAATATATAACCAACATATGACCAACTAGTTATAGGAGTTAGAATACCATTTAGAACTGGCTTTTTTAGCCATGACTGTAAGGGCACTCTAACCCCGCCCAAACAAGTATAAAGAAAAAGTAGTCTCCAGCATGTTCTCCAGCATGATCAACATGTGAGCCATGGTCAATACTCACTATATGGTTGATAGTCATCCCATCCACAATAAGGATCCTTATAATGGTTATTATAAATCCCTATGAACCATTGGATGACTAGCCCCTATTAATGGTTATTAACCATGAGTATTGACCATAGCTCATGTGCTGGAGATGGTCAACAGATGTTCAAACTGCCCAGTTTCAAGGTCATCAGTAGTGTCATCGCAGCTATCCTCAGGCGATCTCGCGATCTCAGCTGGGACCACAGGTTTCAATTCATCCGATGGAATATCAAAGAGTATCATCATCAAACATCATCAAACATCATCAACCATCATACCTATCAATTCTATGTATATATATATATATATCATATATCCCCATATTTTTTGATGGTTAACTCATGTTATATCCCCATCATCAAACATCATGCCATTAAGTCAGAGGATACACATCCCAGGTAGGATGGCTTAAATGGCGTTCCCTTCCTGCGATTTGCTGGGACCTTGACGAGTTGCAATATACGGCAACGTCTCCTGAGTGAAGCCAGTGGCAAAAGGAGACTACATTGACTACATAGTACTTCTGGGAAAAATCGTGCATTGGCGGAGGAGGATCATTGACATCATTTTTGCTTAGACAGCATATGCAGAGACACCCCCACGCCCCAAAGCAGGTCTCCTGAAACTGTTTGTTTTCTGCTTTTTTGTTTGTGGACGGGTCCACCCCCCCCCTTCCCCCTACCCCGGACAGGTCTCCTAGAACTTCTTTATCTTGTTTTCTTGTTTGTTGCGTGTGTGTGTGTGTGGCAAATGGCAAATGGTTGACATTGCAATGAAACATGCAATGAAATAGAAGAAACATTGTAGGTCCATGCAATGGCGTATTTACATGGTTTAAATATGTAATTCCCACAACAAATCAGTACAGCAGCGCGGACTTGGAGGATCATACCGGGTGCTAAATGGGGATACCAGCCACAATAATTTATGTGCCATGATCTTCAAAGATGATTTAATATACCCTCTGGTAATTTAACATAGCTATTGAACATGGCCATTTATAGTGGATTTTCCCATGAAAAATGGTGATTTTCCATAGTTATGTAAACGTTTACCAGAGGGTATGGTTTCTGGATGTTTCTGGTCCATCTCATAATGGATCCATTTTTGGATCCTCATGAATTTCAAGATGTCAATCTCAATCCGAGGACTGGGTGCACAAAAAAAACGATCACCCCAAGAATCGGGGACAAAGCCCATCACCTGAGCCATTGAAAACACACATTTTTTTCCCATCTCATTGTAGGAGTTGGTTGATACGTTTCCCCAGGGTTAATTCATCACCAAAAACCTCCCTAGTTCAGAACCGATCAAGAATCATTTATCAATATATTCTCCATGAATTTTCCTTATGAGATTCCATATGTTGATGGTGAAATCCCCATTGAATAACCAATCAACAGTTGGGCATTTCGATTGGTTCATATCATATAAATCACGTTTATATGGTCTTCCCCCATGATATTCTCATGGTATTCCCATATCTATGGGTTACAACAACCAACCAGGCTACTTTCTTCATGGCTCACCTAAGGGTCGGGTCACCTGGGTCGGGTCGGGTCACCCAAAAAGCTCGCTGGATGGTGTAGTTCATGGAAAATCCATCTACAAATGGATGATTTGGTGAATTCTATGATTAATCCAAAATATGTTATTTCATGGAACAAAAAACCTATGAAAGTTGGTATTATTCATGGTGATAGTTATTGGTCTAGTAGCAAGAATGGTGGTAATTATTGATAACTATTGTATATTAATGATGGTCTTACATTACTGGATCTGGTTGGTGGTTTTTGGCCACCCCTCTGAAACATATAACTTCGTCAGTTGGGGTGATGAACTTCCCAACTGAATGGAAAAATAAAAGCCATGGTCCAAACCACCAACCAGTGTGAAAATGGATGATTTAGGGGGTCCCCCCATGGATTGGACACCTCCATCGAGCTACTTTTATATAGCTACTGTTTGGTATTTTACCAAAAAAAACATGTTATGATTTAGGGGTACCATTCTAGGAACCCCTCATCTATTGGTCAATTTGGTGAATATACAAGTGCCTCGTCCGAAATGGTTTGCTAAGCCGTGCTTGAAGGCTCGTTGTTGATCAAGCAATCAACTATTCAAAGTTTAAAGATCATAGTTGCCGAATCTTAGACACCCTTCTATCTGCATTTATGGAAAGAACTTCAGGTCTCGAAATATCCTACCAAGTTTTTCCCAGTTGCATACCGTGACATGGGATAGGTAAATATTGCCAGAGATTAAAACGCTCAAATGATATACACTGGGGTTTTAACCATCTTGAAAAATATGAAAGTCAATGGGAAGGATTATCCCATATATTATATAATTTTATGGAAAATAAAAAATGGTCCAAACCACCAACCAGTACAGGTTTGATCTACACTCATGTCAGATCTAGGTTTGTCTGAACATAGGGTCAGAATCCAACGGTTAATCATCACGGTTTCCAGCCACCATTTGATGGATTTCCCCTGAGTGTCAAACAAATCCCATCGTCATTTCATTGGTTCTATGCCTATTAAATCCCATCAAAAAGTAAAATGTAAATCCCGCTGTATAGTTAACCACCATGTCCGATTCAATCCCATCATAAATTCCATGATCAACACCCTTATCAAACCCACGATAATGACACATCCATTCTAAATCTCACTAAATCCAACTACTCATTAACTCATTGGTGGTTTCAACCCATCTGAATGATATTATATATATATATTATGTCAGGATTATCATCCAAACTAGGGCTTCAACATGTTTTAAATGAAGGCACACGAAACCATATCAGTGGCGAACAAACTTATTTACTACCCGCAATAGACATGGCCAAAGTGGTGGTCCCCTATCGGTTGTGATGTTTTCGCACAAATTTGAACATTCCATGTCCACTTCCCACTACTGTAGTCTTCGGCTAATTTTGTCGGTTACTCATATGGGTTTGTCTGAAAATAGTGTACCCCTAAACCCAATGGTCAATGATCATTTTTCCCTGTTTTGCATGGCATTTTTTGGGTAAACCCATATGAAATCACCAGGCGCAGATCACCAGGCGCAGATTACCCTCTGGTAATTTAACAGTTTGCTGTTGAAAATGGAGCACATCTATAGTTGATTTACCTATTAAAGATGGTGATCTTCCAATCGTTTGTTGTATGTTTACCAGGCCGGGTAAATCAAATTAGTTAACTCATAACTATGGAAAGATCCACCATGTTTTATGAATAAATCAACTAAATCAACTATTTCTATGGCCATTTTCAAGTCAGCAATTTCAACTGGTCCATGGTTTCAAGTTCGCAAAGTGTTCGTCGTCGATATCGGCCAAGTCTCAAGGCATGATGTGAAGCAACACCAAAGCGTGTTGATGACAATCAAGTCTTGGAGCCATCTGGCAACCCTTCCATTGCCTGCAAGGCTTCCAATCAAGGGAAGCTAGTGATCATCTGGTTGGTGGCTGAGCCACCCCTCTTAAAAATATTAGTCAGTTGGGATCATTCTTACCAATATGGAAAAATAAAACACACACTGGTTGGTGGTGCAACAACCATCTTGAAAAATATGAGAGTCAATGGGAATTATTATTCCATAAAGCGTAGATAATGATCATTGGTGATCAAGAAAAACACACACATGTTTAAGGCTTCGATTTTGTTTTGAGCCGATTGTGAAATATCAAATCTATTCAAAACTGCGTTTCTTGTGGTTGTGTCCGAAAGTGAGGGTCTACCCTCAAATGGCCATTTCAATATAGGGATATTGATAATTAATCAGTGGACTACGGGGGTTCCCTGGTGATATGTCTGGCGAACTGATTTTGCAGTAGATGGAAACAACGTGAAAACCTGATGTTGGAGGTGTAGAGACACAAAGCACCGGAACGTGGGAGGTCACAACATGGAAAGAAATGTCATTGAGTTTTGCAAAACATAACCAACTTGATTTCATGCCTGAAATGTCCCCGCATTTCTGGAATTTGTCAGGAAAAATCAGTGGTTGAGTGACAGAGCTGGTCTGTTTTCTCTATTCAGCTTCCTTGATACACGACTGTGCAGGGAGGTCTTCAGATTGACTAAATGGCTAAACGGGCAAAAAACACGTAGGATCATTGCATAGGATGTAGCATATGAGGATTCATCTGGAACAATGAACTGAAGCTGGCCAGGCTTTAAAGGATCTATGGCCTAGCAAACAGTGTTTGAAACGCTTGAAATCCGTCGTCATTTTCCAGTTCCATAGCATTCCATAGCATAACATCGCCCATGTCAGGGTAAAACCATTGACCACAGAGTCGGTTTCTTTGTCTCAATTGAACATCAAATTGGTCAGGCTACTACTTGGTGGTGCATCCCAGTAAGTGAGTTATAACCCCAGTTATAAGTGAACATTGCCCCTACTTCGCCCATTTATATTCAGGGTTATACCCTACTTACTACAATGTGGGCCCCCTAGTTATAAGTTGGTTTATAACCCAATCAAACTATAGTTAGAACTACCATAAACCCTAGTTTATTGCGGTTATAAACCAACTTCCTATTAAAACCCATTAACTCCTATTAAAACCTGTTAACTCCTATTAAAACGCATTAACTCCTATTAAAATCCATTAACTCCTATTAAAACCCATTAACTCCTTTTAAAACCCATTAATTCCTATTCAAACCCATACAACACCCAAAGGCCGGTGACCAACCCGATGCCTGGGTGACGCTTGCCCATCAGCAATCGATACCAACGGTACTTCCAGGTGTCCTGGAAAACCATGGGAAAACCATGGGAAAACCATGGGAAAACCATGGGAAAACCATAGGAAACAATAGGAAACAAATGCAGAAAGGTTGATTGAACCTTAGAAAAAAAACAGAACATGAATAATTGAGGATATTTATTTTCGAATATGCATTTGTTGAGCAAAACAACGCGTTAGGATTAGGTTACCTGATTTTGATGAAAAGGATCGTTAACCAGTTTCTATCAAGGGATTGGGTCCACGTTCATATCTATGTCATTCTATGTCTATGTCAAAATTTGGAGTGTATCGTGTTTAGGCAGTGAAATGACCATAAGGTGGCACCCAAACTGATCTAGTAGCACCCATCTAACTAAATCTAACTGTAGTCATAACCAACAAACACATACAAAAACTCTAGACGATGCAACTTACTATGGTTTTATGTTGGTTATAATTTCATCTAGATGAGGTCTTATTGGTCATGACCTAGCCGACATAAAACTCTAACCAATGGGGCACGACCTCCTTCCACTGACGTTCCTTTTCGTGAGTCACCATTGCAATGTCAGATGTTTTGCAGAATAAAATCTGCCAATCCACTGTTAGAATACATTAGTTATAATAGTTCATAGCCAGAATAATATCCAACTATGTTCCATCCAAACAAGTTCTTCTGGCTCAAAATGATGATAATTCAAAAGTCTAACCCATAGGATCCATGTATACTATATATATATATATGATTATATATGGTAACATTTACCATCAATATACCCCAAATGTTGGCATATATACCAGCACCATGGATCCTATGGGTAATGAAATTAATCTGGGGCCTTTTGGGGATGATTCCCCCAAACCACTTCGACCTTTGACCCAGGCTGCACGTGAACGACCAGTGGCTGGTTGCAACTGCATCAGCACTTCATCATCAATCTGGGCGTCAGGGAATGAAAAAACACCATGTCTTTAAGGGGACAACATAGAGTTGCTCTGGTATGCCATTTATCATCATCTATCTGAAAGAAATATAATATAATATAGTGTCATTTACCAAACTGAGATACCACACTGAGATACCAAACTAAGTCTTATTTAACATCATTTATCAGCTACTATACCAACATTCCCTGCTAGGGGTAACCCCCATTCACATACTGAAAAAGGTCAACCCTTCTATGGTTTGGTGTATGAAAAAATCATTGGGGGCGATCCCTCCCTCTATTGATCAACCAAGCAGTGGGGCAGGGAATAAAGTTAGGTCACATAATACAGGATGGGGCCCCCCAGTGATGTTAGTTGGTTTATAAACCATTGTAACCCCTATTAACAATAGTTCTATCTACCAGGAACCATAGAATTCAGCCACTTTTTTCAGGCAACTGACGGACGCATCCTCGGATTCCTATAGGATTTCTGTTGAAACAACTGAGCCGTCATTTTATGCACAACACGGGCACGGTGGTATGGCATGTTATCCAACAAATCCAGAAAAGAAGTCATGTTTATCATCAGAAACTATATAGAGTATCATTATAGCATAGTTGTTTTTCCATGACCAATCTTAGATACCCTGCAAAAAATTCGAATTCTTAGCTGGTGAACGTAGATAATCCCATACCAAAAGACTAAAGGATTAGTTTCTACCATCCAGTCGATTGACCTAGAAGTCTGACACGCTGAGAATTATAAGCCATGTATAACATCCTGTAATATTCTGGGAAAACTTCAGGTATTTTTTTCTTGCAGAGTGCTATGGAAAATGGACCATTTATAGATGATTTTACTATTAAGCAAGTTTATTTTCCATATGTCAAATGACCAGAGGAGATCCAAAATCACAAAGAAAAATGGAATATTTAGCCACCCCTAGGACCTCTTGAACGACTCCTAAAGATTTCACGCTTAGTTTAGTGTATACTTTGCAACATGGAGTCAATACTCGACCACCACTGACTTACCCATGAAGCATAAGCTGTTAGACATCTGGGGATCATCGTCATCAGCCCCGTGGCCGGGAAATCCCCAAACTATATGGACGGTTTAATGGGTTTTAATGGGATTATAATGGGATTATACTGCGATCATAATGGGATTCAATAGGAGCGTTTTAATAGGAGATAATAGGAGTTAATGGGATTATAATGGGGTTTAATGGGATTTGATGGGATTTAATTAATAGGGTTTAATGGGATTATAATCCACTTAATGGGATATACCAATATACCCTCTAGTAAACTAACCGTTTGCTATTGAAGCCATGGCCCATTGAGTTCGTTGATTTAAAGCATCGAACTAAATGGCATTTCCATTGCCACGTTTGATGACACCGGAGGGTATATATGTATGATTGCACATGATGAGATCGTCATGATATATTGAGATCAACATGGAGATCATCGACATGATGTTTTTTATTAAGCGAATGAACTAACATGGACTAACTATACAGTACATGGATATTATTGAGGAACATCATCTGGTTGGTGGTTGAGCCACCCCTCTGAAAAATATGAGTTCATCAGTTGGGATTATATATTATTCCCAATATATGGAAAAATAATCCAAAAGTTCCAAACCACCAACCAGTATAATAATGGTATATCTTGAAAAATATTAGTCAATGGGAAGGATTATCCCATATATTATGGACAGATAAAAGTCATGTTCCAAAGCACCAACCACTCATTTCGGAGATCGTGGAACCAATGTGGTAAACCCAGTTGGCCTTTTTTCACCATCCCAGTGACCAACAATTTTTCTGAGTGTACTTTTGCATCATCCCAAATAAGCCAATGTCAAAAACATTCATAAATTGGCTTATTTGGGATGATGCATTGTGATAAATTTGCTCCATAAATGGTGTTTTTTTCGCATTGGGAGTAACACTGTTTCATCAAAACACCACTTCATCATCCAAAAGAAGTCATTGAATATCCCTCTCCAATGGCAGCTGCGGTCGAGAGACATCATGAATATCTCCTGGGCAGGGAGCTTGCCAAAGCCACCATTCTCAGCTTAATCATTATAGAAATCTACACATCGATCAAAGAGAGCATCAAAAGTAAAGAACTATATGTTCCCCATAGATTCCCGAAATGATGGCTTAACCATTGGGAAAATAAAAGCATCACCTTCTCCAAGTCACATAATTTTGAGGGATACCCTCCAGTAAACTCACATCACTATGAACATTCACAATCTTTCATCGGTAATTCATCTATACATGGCCATTTTCAATAGTGAGGCCCTCGAAGATCGAATCATTAAAATTTCTGGTAATCGCCACTTTGAAAAAGGAACCATGATTCATGAATCGGAAATTTCTCGCGTGGACTTGGTTCAATGACAAATTTCAGAAGCCTAAAATTGGAGGTACTACCGGTACCATTTGTAAGGCCACATTTTGGGCGGGATATTCCGTGAAATGTCGCCCTAAAAAAATGGCCTCATACTAAGTACCTCTAATTTTTATTAGTCCCTGAAATGGCCGCATTTGGACGATCCAACATAGCCTTGCTTTGCTTTCAGGGATGGTCAGTGAACAAGGAAGGCATATCAACCGATAAGGGGGCAAAATTTAGTTCAAGTACACCAAAAAAGGCGAGGTTCATTACCCTCTGGTAAACTAACATAGCTATGGAAAATCACAAGTTTTAATGGGAAAATCCACTATAAATGGTCATTTTCAATATATAGCTATGTTAAATTACCAGAGGGTATACCGCTTGCTAGTTTGATCCTTGAAACTCTGGTTTAGTATTGCATCAATTCATCTTAGACGTCTCAGGTGGGATTGAGATATTGGAGGTCCCACCTGGTGATATCCGATCCGATGTTTGTTTTTATCATAGGATATCATAGGATATCACCAAAGAGGTATCTCAAATACCAGCTAATATCAAAATACCCTCTGGTAAACTAACATAGCTATGGAAAATCACCATTTCTAATGGGAAAATCCACTATAAATGGTGATTTTCAATAGCTATGTTAAATTACCAGAGGGTATATCAAAAACAATAGGATATCACACTTGGTTTGTCCGAAAATGGGGGGCTGCAATCTTCAGAAGGAAAATTGATGAACATGGTTTTGGAAAATGACCAATTTATAGATGATTCATATTGAAACTTGTGATTTGCCAGTTCGCTATGTCAAATTACGAAAAGGATCGAAAGCCTTCGGCGTTCAGCCCATCTTGACCACTTGACTTTTCTCCAAAGCGTCGAAAATTTCCTTGTGCACGTTCTTCTTCCAGCTGCGTTAAGGCGGCCTCGAAGGCAGTTTCTACAAGGTGGTACCCCTCACTGATGTTTGTTGGCTTATAATCCCCATTAACTAGTTCGATATACCCTCTGGTAAACTAACATCATGGAAAATCCACTATAAATATCTATAAATAGCAATATGTTTGTTTACCAGAGGGTAACCCCCATTCATCAACCCTCGTTCTTGGACAAAAAAATGCACCAACTTCGCGTCTTTCCAAACTGAACCACCACCTTGAAAAATCGATCGAACTGCCACAGGAAATCCCAAAATCGGATGTTTCAGTTGTGGATCGATCCCAGAGGATCCATGTATGGAATATTTACCTACATTGACCCCTAAAGTAATTTAACATAATCCCAATGTAGGTAAATATTCCATACATGGATCCTTAGGGGATGTTTTTTATGTTTTGTTAAGAAAACATGTTGTGATAGTTAACTCGTATATGTGATTGTTGTATATACATCCCCATGCAACCATCAACCAGTGGTTTAACGGTTTGGGCCACTGAAGTGATTTGAACATTGGATTCTGGTGAACGTAAGTTTTCTTGAATCAGTCCTCCCCATTGATCGCAGTATTACCTCTTCAGAAACTGGTTTCATGACCAATATCGAAAGGCAGCCAATGACAGGGAAAAAACATGGAACATGTTAGGTGCGATGGTCCCGGTTCTAGTGGGAAACGTTTCCTTTGCAAAATCCAAGTGGAAGACTTGCAGTTTGGGTGTCTATATGAATCAAATTGATTCAACAGTCAATACAAATAAAAACCTAATGAAGATTAATGAAGTAAAAAAAAAAACGCATGCCCGAATGTGAATGCGAAACACGTGCCAAGCACACCATTTGCAACGAATATATATATGCAAGAACCCCTTTCGGTGGGGTTCCAAAAAGTCTAGTGCAGGTTGAATAATGACTGGTTGCTACTGAAATTGTGTCCCCAGAAGGATCAATGGCCCAATGGTAAACCTTCATCCGGGTGCAAACAATGTACCCTGCCCTCCCTTAGTGATGGCATGATGTACCATGCACTTATAATTACCCCTGATTATTCTTTGGTTGCTGGGATTATGACTATGGCATTGGGCTTACCACGGAACAAGACATCAGTTCATAATTAGTGTCACAATTTTCCGAGTGACAATCATGCTTGCGTATTGTTCCTGCAGCAAGCAGTGGTTCGCTGCATGTGATGCTGCGCTCACATGTTCTAAAGAGGGGAAAACAAACACTGGGGAACATGGTAAAACAAACGCCCTAGAAAATGGGATGCTAACCATTGCAAGCCAAAACACATAGAAATGAAACGCCAAGAATCCAGGTTTTCTAATTCATGATGTGGAAGGTAAACTCAACCAGAATTGGAATAAACAACCAAAATGACGATGTGCGCCCCGAAGAAACTTAGATATATTTTGAATAAGGTTCAAGCATTTAAAATTTATGATGTACACATATGCAAATCATATCACATATCTATTGAGACATGGTTACAATGAAACATTAATATACACAGCACATATGCACACAAGGTATAACCAAAACATAAAGGACATGTGTTTGTTGTGAAGATGCAAAAAAAAAACATAGGAAGCAAGTAGGGCTCACTATATCTGGGTAAATTATTATATTTCACTAAATCATACTAGTGAAAACATGGTGTATCCATTAATATATCCCTAGTACCATATATATATATATACATACATGGGTAACATATAACATTTCACGAACCTGAATAGTTGGGCCGTTTGGGGATGATTTCCCTTATTAGCCATGATTCCAGTGAGAGAGAACAGTGAGGTCGTTATACTTTACCCAGATATATAAAACTCAAAAGACAAAAGAAGACAGAACAACTGATTTTTTGATGGCAAGGGTGTTGAAAACGTGTCTATGCAAACAAGCAACACAGAAACAAACAGCAAACACAATTGCACCAATCAGAGTAATGAAGATACAGTGTGCCATGCCTTTATCTTTCAATGCGGTGAGCTGGAATGCTGATGGGCGAATACAGCTTGAGAATTGTAAAAGAATGCACTGTACAAGAATTTGTTCAGGGCTCGGATCCAATACGAAGGCCATAATACTTTAAGACACTGAGGGACCCTGGGATGTGGCCAAATTCTCCACGAATCGTAAGAGGTTTTACCCTGGTGATCTGTAGTGCCCATTCAGTGGCTTATCATCCCATCTAGGGCTTTCCATGGCCATAGGGGTACCCAATAGCTGGATTGTTTATCATGGAAAATCCCAAACCAAAATGGATGATTTAGCGATACCCCCATTTTAGGAAACCCCCATCTGCAAGGTGGTGCCCCATAGTTAGCTAAGTTGGTGCAAATAAGTCCAATAACTAGGGTTGATGAATGGGGGTTATATCAAACTAGTTAATGGGGATTATAAGGGTGGTTTTAACAATCTTGAAAAATATGAAAGTCAGATTGGATCATCCCAACTATTGGGGGGAAAAAAATGTTCCAAACCACCAACCAGTATGATCTTATATCATGGTTTATTCCCCATTAAATAGTTGATTTACCCATTAATAGCATGGTGATTTTCCATAGTTAAACGTTCGTTTACCAGAGGGTACAACCCCCAGGCCATAGAAATTGTTGATTTACCCATAAAAAAATGTTCCAAACCACCAACCAGTATGGTTATTAACCAGTGACTTTCTCCGGCAGATCCTCCACACCTCCGCCAAGATCATCGCTGTCTCGCTCACCCGGCGCCCGTGGGTCATGTGACGCTCGGGGCGCAGGAGGGGCCTGGCGGAAAGAGGCGCCAGAAAAGGGGTAAAACACGTGGAATTGGAAAAAGATGGAAACAACTATGGAAACATGTGATTTAATGTCGTTTAATATGGGTTTAATATGGTTTCATCAATCGGAAATTGATGTTAAAAACTATGGTTGAACAAGAAAGTATGGGAACTTAAGCAACAGAAAATGGACGTTTAAAGAGTTTCAAGTCTATAATGACTGACTGGTTGATACTTACAAAATGCGGGTTTTCGATTTTAAGCAACAGAATTGGGATGTAGGCAACCATAAAAAATGTAGTGATATTCACCATCATTCTAAGTTGAACGCGGTCGTCATATGGTTGATTCTCCTAGTACTGTGCTTATCAATCGCTTGCATGGTTCAAGGAAAATCTGAAAACAGCTGAAAACTGTATTAACTGTTGGTTTCTAATTTGATTTCGATGGAACATCTGGAAGTGCATGTCTATAATTTGATACATAATAAAAGTACCCTCTGGTAAGCTAACATAACTATGGAAAATCACCATTTTTAATGGGTAAATCCACTATAAATGGCCATTTTCAATAGCTATGTTTGTTTACCAGAGGGTAAGTTTTTCCAGCATCTTGAGACATCTTGAGACATGTTCTCTAAAAATAGGATCCAAAGTCCATAGTTCAAAATTCCTACAACAGATGTCCTCAAAACGTGGCTGAAAAATCCTCGAAGAAAACGCTGGCTTCTGTGGCTGGGAGAACCATCAACTATGGGGGATTTCCACTTGCTATGTTTGATGACACCAGAGGTTATATAACATCATATCATTTAAATTCATATGATACTAATGGATGATATCATCACATACGTCCCATTAATATCCCAGTAATATCCAATATACACCCCATGAATACCCATATCACTATTATAACATCATATCACCATTCAACTCCATTAAATCCCATAAATCATGTTTCTGGTTGGTGGTTTTTCGCCTACCCCTCTGAAAAATCATGGAGTGAAAGTCAGTTGGGATGATTATTCCATTCCCAAATGAATGGAAAGTCATAAAATGCCATGGTTCCAGTCACCACCAATCAGAATAAGTTAAATTCATATGATACAATATAATGGGATGATATCACCATATACATCATATACATCCCATTAATACCCAATGAAATCATATCACTGGCCATCTCAGGAACCTAAATTGGAGGTACCGATTCCATACATAAGGCCTATTTTTTAGGCCTTAGTTTCAGTGAATATCCCCACAAAATATGGCCTTACATATGGTACTAACGTACCTCCATTTTAGGATCCTGAAGATCTCCCATTGAATATATAGTGGATGGATGAAATCCTAGCGAAACAAAAACAAAGTGGAAATCCTAGTTATGGAATCATATACATCCCATTAATATCCAATGAAATCATATCAAAAACCTTATCTGTGTAAATTACAATATTTCACTAACCTGAATTAAGCCATTTGGGGATGATTTCCCTTACTAACCATGATTCCCAGTGAGATCGCAGTGAGGTCGTTATAATTTACCCAGACCTTATGGCCTTACCGGCTACCGGCTGTATCTTCATGTTCCCCTGAGATTGAACCTCAACTTTTTGGCGTGCATCTCATCCAAGCCTGGCTAGTGGCTGGTGGCCATTTCGCAAGTTACCCTCTGGTTAAACGTCAAAACCATGGGATCCATAGGAAAACCATAGGAAAACTATAGGAAAACCATAGGAAAATGGAGGTTTACCCTTTGGTTATGTCAAAATAGCTATTGAAAATGGCCCAGTCGAAACAGTGAGTCGTCCCATTAATAGCATGGCGATGTTCCATAGTTATGTAGACGTTTACCAGAGGGTAGCTTTGGAATTTCACGAATAACTAAGAATCTACAAGCTGGGTCGCCAGTTTGATAGCTAAGTTCATTTTTCAATAGGTCGGTTACTCGGTCACATATTGGATTTACGGGTCACATATTGAACCAGTTAATGGGTAACGATAACCAGCAACTGGGGAGATAAACACCGATGTGTTAACAACGATGCACCGCAGGGATTGCCATGTTCATAGTTCATGCCCAAACCTGGGATACACATCGGTTCCTAGATGTTCCTAGTCATGCTAATTTTGAATAATGTATAGTTGTGATTATAAAATTTCTAGGGATTAATCAACCCCCCACAGGAAACATGTTCGGGCAATACCAAAATGGGTTGGTTCCCCTTGATTAATCAACGGGGGGGAATCACCAGATTGTATAATCAATCCCCACAGAGAACACCTTTTTTTTTTGTTCGAGGTTTTCTTCTAGGTTTAAAAAGAACATCTATTGAACGTAGGTTGATATCAATTGACATCCTTACTAACCTTCAGATTTCTTTTTGGCTTTGGATTTAATGATTAAAAGGAAAAATCATTGAAAGATATTGAACGTAGGTTGATATCAATTGACATCCTTACTAACCTTCAGATTTCTTTTTGGCTTTGGATTTAATGATTAAAAGGAAAATTCATTGAAAGATATTGAACGTAGGTTGATATCAATTGACATCCTTACTAACCTTCAGATTTCTTTTTGGCTTTGGATTAAAGAAAAAATCATTGAAAGATATTGAAAGTAGGTTGATATCAATTGACATCCTTACTAACCTTCAGATTTATTTTTGGTTTTGGATTAAAGAAAAAATATTGAAAGATATTGAAAGTAGGTTGATATCAAATGACATCCTTACTAACCTTCAGATTTTTTTTTGGCTTTGGATTAATCATTGAACGATATTGAAAGTAGGTTGATATCAATTGACATCCTTACTAACCTTCAGATTTTTTTTCGTGTTTCGCAATCTTTTGGGCGCGCGTTCGACCTGGCTTGCGGCAGGTCGACCTTAATGGGATTTCAGCCACAAAGATTACCCGCTGCAAGAATTCGCGAAGCTATCTGTATCCATCCATCCTGGGTCATCCTCCTCCTTTCTTTTTGTTGACCACCCCAAGGTTCATCATCGTCCCACAGTGTCGAAGGATGTGGAACGATGGTCATGGCCAGCATTCGTGGATGATCTTCTGGGAATCACAGACCTTCACGACATCATCATGGTTAATAATGGTTATTAATAATGATTATTAATAAATTATTAATGGTTAAATTATTAATGGTTAAATTATTAATGGTTAAATTATTAATGGTTAAATTATTAATGGTTAAATTATTAATGGTTAAATTATTAATGGTTAAATTATTAATGGTTAAATTATTAATGGTTAAATTATTAATGGTTAAATTCTTAATGGTTAAATTCTTAATGGTTAAATTATTAATGGTTAAATTATTAATGGTGAAATTATGAATGGTGAAATTATTAATGGTTAAATTATTAATGGTTAAATTATTAATGGTTAAATTATTAATGGTTAAATTATTAATGGTTAAATTATTAATGGTTAAATTATTAATGGTTAAATTATTGATGGTTAAATTATTAATGGTTAAATTATTAATGGTAATTATTAATGGTTAAATTATTAATGGTGAAATTATTAATGGTTAAATTATTAATGGTTAAATTATTAATGGTGAAATTATTAATGGTGAAATTATTAATGGTGAAATTATTAATGGTTAAATTATTAATGGTTAAATTATTAATGGTTAAATTATTAATGGTTAAATTATTAATGGTTAAATTATTAATGGTTAAATTATTAATGGTTAAATCATTAATGGTTAAATTATTAATGGTTAAATTATTAATGGTTAAATTATTAATGGTTAAATTATTAATGGTTAAATTATTAATGGTTAAATTATTAATGGTTAAATTATTAATGGTTAAATTATTAATGGTAATTATTAATGGTTAAATTATTAATGGTAATTGTTAATGGTTATTATTAATGGTTATTATATGTTATTAGAATTGGTTAATGATGGTTAATGATGGTTAATGATGGTTAATAACAATCTGGTTTGGTGGTTTTTCGCCTACCCCTCTGAAAAACCATGGAGTGAGTGAAAGTCAGTTGGAATGATGAAATTCCATGAAATTCCCAACTGAATGGAAACATATGACATCCAAATGTTCCAAACCACCAACCAGTCATTCAATGGTTCAGGGTCTTGGCTCCTAGTGAGCACAATCCAAAACTCCTCATGCCCGAATATCTCATCGTCGATAAAAATAGATGAAGATAGCAAGCTTGTCATCGAATGAACACTTCCGGGCGAACAGGGGGGGTTATTAATCACAACTTGACATTACTGGATTCCCAAAGAAAAACGTAGATCGTTTCCAACAATGGATCATGTTTGATTCTTAACTTGTTGGTGGTTTCAATCCCTCTGAAAAATATTAGTCAGTTGAGATGATTCTTCCCAATACATGGAAACAAAACCCATGTTCCAAACCACCAATCAGCCAACCAGTGGATCATGTTTGATTCTTACCCTCTGGTAAACGTTTCCATAGCTATTGAAAATGGCCATAGACATATTTAATTTACCCATTAATAGCATGGTGATTTTCCATAGTTTTGTAAACGTTTACCGGAGGGTAAGTTCCCAGTCATTTTGATTCCCAGTTAGATCTCAAAAAGGTGTTCCCACTTGGATCCACTATATTATATTTCCAAGAAGTCAGGTCGTCATCCAACACCCACAGTTGTAGCCCAAATAAACTCTAACACATGTCCCGTTGGTACAGTTATAGCCCTGAACAACTGGGAACATGATGGGAAAATCATGGGGACATCACTAAATACTATGATTATAAATAACATTAAATAACTAATTTCATCATATATCACCAACTATAGGAGTTTTCTTTCATCCCACTTAAGAGAGGCCCATTGAATCCCAGGCCATCCAACACCCTGCGAAAGTCAATCTCTGGGATCCGAGAGACGTTCTCGGAAGGCCGAAGCAAAAAGTCCCATGGGCACGGTGAAAAGACCCACACCCAGGAGCATGATGATCGTGTGGATCGCTTTGCCCTCAGGCAAAAACAAATTCTGTGGTTGATATGTTTCTGTTTGAATTACGATGCGTATTTCTCTAGGCCAACTATATATACTATAGGGGATGGTTATCTGGATAAATCATAACTAGGTATATCCATAGTGATATATATTCAGTTGTATATAACTATACAAATTATATCCATAAATTAACTATATCCATCATAGTTATTTGGATGGATATGTAAATGGTCATTTCAGGAACCTAAATTGGAGGTACCTACCATATATAAGGCCTATTTTTTAGGCCTATGTAACGTGATATCCCTAGAAAATATATGAACATATGCCCAAAAATGTGGTACTAACGTACCTCAATTTTAGGATTCTGAAGATCTCCCATTGATATATGGGGATTTCCAATCCATATATAGGGGTTCCCCAATAGCTGGTTGGTTTATTTCATGGAAAATCCCAATCTAAAAGCTGGATGATGATTTAGGAGTACCCCCATTTCAGGAAACCTCCATAGATAGTGGCTGGACGAAATCCTAGTGAAAGAAAAACAAAGTGGAAACGAACAGCCACAATGGTTGCGAAATCCTGCGCGAAAACGGTGGTTTCTCCCAGCATTTATAGCTGGTTGGTGGCTTTAGCCCTACCCCTCTGAAAAATGATGGAGTTCGTCAGTTGGGAACATGACATTCCCAACTGAATGGAAAAATAAACCAAATCTTCCAAACCACCAACCAGATAGGGTTTCAACAATCCTTTTGGTGGCGCAGGATTTCGCAACCATCCATAGTAGGATTGTGGATATGTGCTGAGGATATATCTATAATTACAATGCGTTACTGGCATGACAATGAAATGATGGCTAACCAGGGACGTTTATTGGCTACATTCATCCCAGAAATGGGCATGAGTGCACAGTTGGCATCGTAAAATCATTTGAAATGGGAAAATAAGGTGTTCAACCATTGAGTTTATGGTAAACCAATTTTTGGACAAAGCCACAGTTGATATTGGAAGCGGGAAAATGTTCTGCGGAAATTATGTGGCATGCTTCGGCCTTGGGATGTGGAAGAAAAGTGCAGTTTTAGAAGAGGACAGTTCTGTTATATATATATATATGTACATATATATATGTATATATATATACATATATATATGTATATATATATTATATATCATATATATATGTGTATATCATATAAATATATATCATATATATATATACATATCATATATATATATGCCTACGCATGTGATTACAATGTTTTGGTTTGCAAGTCCTTGTCTGGCAATAGATAGAGCCATGTCTAGTAGCCAAGTTATGGTATACTTGCGGCCAAACACCTCGTTTTGCCCGCGAGTGTTGGCCCGCCTTGTTCGTATTAGCCCAAACATTTGGGACATTTTGTCCATAGATATAGCTATATAGATAAATATTGACCATCTACAAGCACCATTGGTATGTACATATACATATATGTGTGTATAATACAGTACCATTACTGCTGGGTAACTCCCTTCTCACGATACCCATATCAAATCCCAAACCAGTGTCAATAAATACCCATTCCAATCCCATCAAGACCTTCTGAAATATGTATATATATATATATATTTCTGGTTCTATGAGCATTTCTGAGATAAAATACCTCATGATCATGAATATTCAAATAATATTATCAGTTTATCAGGATATTATGTTCCCCTATTTCCATTGTATTTTCCATCATAGATCATAATATGTCCATGTTTCCCATTATCATATAGATACATCTAGAATTATATCCCACTACATCATTATGTATATAAATATTTAGAGCCATATAAAACAGAGGGCATTGTATATCATTATATTTATATATGTCCAGTATATTATATTATACCCTCTGGTAAACTAACGTTTAACTATGGAAACTCACCATGCTTAATGGGTTAATCTACTATGTCTATGGCCGTTTTCAATAGCTATGTAAACGTTTACCAAAGGGTATATTATTCCATTGTGTGTGGATTTCTTTATCCCTAACTAACCCCATGAAATCCCATGAAAAATCCCATTAATGGTGGTGGTTAACCAGAGGGTACCCTCCTCAAAATAATGGTTCAGTATACATTGTATCTCCATCCCGGCCATCCCAGGAATCCAAGCCATCCAAGCCGCCTGAGCCCCGTGGTCGTTCACCGGTGCTTCGCTGGTGAAGAATAACGCAGTCATCCAGAGCGACAAGGGCAGAGTCCTCGGTGAACGAATGGGTCACCAAAAAAAAAAGACATGGTTGGAATGTATAATATATATATATATATTTATCAAATATATACTATTATATATATATATATATATACGTAAATTTAGTTGGATGGGTCAATCACCCAACTTACAACTAGGGGTCATATCCATTTAATAACTTGCATGTAGCCCGATGCCAAACACCGCTGCCTCATCGGCATGGCTGGGTGAACAGTGCCACTTGTGATGATGCTGAGCCCAGTGAGCAATGGGGTAGCCGGCGATTTGTGGATGGATAGTAGGATTGGATTGGTATATAATCTGGTATATTGCATATACGGTTGGACCCCCTGGCTGATGGGACCCCATTCCGCATTCCCATCTTCTCAAACCATTGGTCTTTCAAATATGGCATGGGAGCAGTATGGGAGTAGTTTGGTTTCACCCGCCTCTTTGTGTGTATATATATATATAAACGGCTGATTCTTCTAGCATGCTTAAACATAGAAATAATAATAGTATAAGTTAGTATATATACAATATATAATATCGGATTGTTTTACCCGCTCTTGGTGGATTCATTTGTAATAATTGCATTTTCCGGTTGTTAAATTCTACCGAAGAATAGCCAATCAACCAGCCAACAGTTCCGGTTTTGAACATGTTCATCTGGGTTGTGTCTGAAAATCGAGGAACTAATCTATATGTAGATATACACATAGATACACATAATTTAGTATCCTTTATGAACAAGTCATGGTTCAACAAGTCATAAGATTTGTGTCTGAAGTCATGGTGCACCTAACCCTACTAGTTGGCTTTGTCAAAGATAAACCATTGGATTTGGTATACTGGAAAAACCTCATTTCAAGGACCCAAATCACAAGAACCGTGATGATTGTAATAGAAGATACACGAAAAAAGACAACAAGAGGATAGAACATGATAGAACCAACAATGGCAACTCCGGAAAATTCCGTTTCCCTCATGGCGTCAGAAACCCTGGAGTCTGTGGGTGTTGCTTGAGCTTAGCTAATTGATTCATGACTGGGACCCGATACACAAACTACTTCAGACCTATGATACTGTATGGGGACGGGCCCCAAAACATGAACTGTTAAGCTTAGAAACATCATGATGACGTCGGTGCTGTGTGATTCTCTGGATGTTTTGGGTATATTATATGATTAAATATAGAGATATTATGATATTAAACTCATGTTTAATTTTGGATCTATTATCCTTAGGGTATAGATTGGGTTAATATTTCCATTGTGGTATTTTTTTCACCCTTTATGGATCCGATGCTTAAATACTTCGAAACTACAAACCCCCAAAGATACCCTATCTCAGAGGCTTGGATCCTTTTTTGTTGCTGGTAGAACCATAGAACCCTGAAATTTACTGCTAGACTGACATAATTTCTTGTTGAATCGAGATGTCAGAAACACAGCCTAGTGAAAAATCCCATGTATTCCTGGCCCAAAACCCAGCGTCTTGAAATGCTCTCGGGTACCTGTCCGCTACTGATGGCCGGTCGGAGAAATTGGAGCCAGGGCAATGCGGTGAAATTGCCCTCACTATGGTCATGTAAAAAACAGGGACAATGATAATTATCCAGTGGATAATTTTTTGGGTACTCTATTTCAGTGAAACCCACATGGTAATCACATGCTCAGTGTATAATCCAAATCATTCCTTTTCATCCCAACTGTTCTGAGTTGGGTATAAAAACCCTAATGAAACCCCAATTATAGATCCAATCAATCCATATTCTTCCCATGATATGTTTCAGAAAGACCAGCCATACGACCAGCCTTGTTGTGGGCCCTTCAGGCATCGTGGCAACAGTCCAACCATGAGGCAAGTGTTGCCAATAACGGGACTTAAGGGGATGGTCACATCGTGTCAGATGGTGTTGTGAGACAAACGATCAATGCAGAACTTAAATGCCGAAACATGTAGAAACATATGTTTGTCTTAAGTTGAGGCCCCGAACGATATCTAACCCACATAACTTAGTCAACTAGGATTTATGAAGGATATACCCTTTGGTTATTTAACATAGCCATGGTATTGATGGCCCATTCATAGATGGTTTACCTAGACCTATTAAAAATGCTGATTCTCCATGGCAAACTGTTAAATAACCAGATGGTAGCTATTGTTGAAAGGGTTTTATATAACCTAACATCACTGGAGGGGGCTTCCTTGTAGGGGCATCCACCGGCAATGGCTGGAACCCTTGGTGCTATGTTTTTTTTTCGGCGTGTGTGAAAGTAGCCGAGCGAAGCTACGACTGAAGGATTGCTTGTTACTGTAGGTTATAGCTCTCAGCCTTGCATATTGACATTGATCTACCTTTGCAAGCTCCATTGACGGCTTTGCCGTCAAGTGCAGTCTCACTGGCAGCTTATAGACAAGCCGCCCAAATTTCCTTCTCCTTCCGCGACATGTCCTTGTCAATAAAAGTGCGGAAAATGTCTTGGTTCAGGATCAGGCCTTCCGGGCGATTGATTGAAACATCCACTTGGTCGGAGAGCACCTCCGGAAAATCGCCCACCTCAGCTTTCTCTTCCATGGTTTTCAGATCATGTTGCGATATCTCATTGGCCTTCGTCTCTTTGGCGAACGAAGCTCTTGTACAGCTTCTCCCAAGCAGTGGACGGCATGGTGCGGAAGTCTCCGGCCGCCTTCGTCTCTTTGGCGAAGCTCTTGTACAGCTTCTCCCAAGCAGTGGACGGCATGGTGCTATGTTCTCCCTCACAGCTGAATCCCCATGTTGTACTGGTAAAAAATCACATGTCAGTGTACCATCTATAAATGGATGAGAACTACAAGGTGGTGCCCCCCCTAGTTCTAAATTGGTTATAAGCCCATTAACTAGTTCGATATATCACCAACAAAAACCATAGTTATTGGAGTTATAAACCAACTTAGCTATCTTGGGGGTAACTATAGATATATCACCTATAAACCATAGTGAAATTGGAGTTATGTTCGCCAACTGAACGCTATCGAACGGGGGCACCACCTTGTAGGGGTACTCCCATGACTTAGGAAACCTCCATATCAAGAAATATGACAATAAAAAAAATCATAGCCATGGAAAATCCCAACCACAAATGGAGGTTTATAGCTGGGATTTGTTTCTATAAATGGGTCATTTTCCATGGCTATGTTAAATAACCAGAGGGTAATGTTTATCGATTCTGATCCATTATAAATGAATATCCCAATAATGCTTAAAATCACATGTCAATGGCATGAATATTTGACGAATAAAATTGGTAAAATCCATTTATCAATACCCCCATAATGGGTATCATTCCCCATGTCATCTGCAATGGAATCCATATCAATAATGATAATCCATATCCACATAATGGAATATGCCAACATCACATGTCAATGGAATATATCAAACAAACAACAGTTAAAAATCATTTAAAATCTATCAATATCACCATAATACTAATTGGTGGTTTCAACCCTCCTGAAAAATATTAAAGTCAGATTGGATCATCATCCCAATTATTGGGGAAAATAAAAGCAATGTTCCAAACCGCCAAACAGTATGATCTTATATCATGGTCTATTCCCCATTAAATAGTTGATTTACCCATGAAAATCGCATGGTGATATTTTCCAGTCAGTTAAACGTAAACGTTTACCAGGCCGGGTAACCAGTGACTTTCTCTTTACTGCAGCCTGCCACCCTGCCTTCGGCGGGATTATCTCTCTCCGCATAGTACATGAGGATCGAGCCCAGGAGCCACAATGTTGTGGCGAAAATCATCGACATCCTCCAAATGGAACATGGAAACTCAAATGACTAGAATAAAATGGTCCTTAACAGTTATAAGTGGCTTATCATGATATATATATATATATAGTATATATATAATAATATATATATATTGATAAATAATATATATATATATATTAATATATAATATATAATAAATAAAAAATATATATGATATATAATATATAATATATGATACATAATATATAATATATAATATAACATATATATATTATATAAATAATATATATTATAAATAATATATACTGTATATATAATTATGTTTAAAATTTAAACCCTAGTTGGTTATAGGAGTTCAAATCCCATAAAACAAAAAAAAAACGTTTTCAGGGTTACAAGTCTGTAAGATCCGGCTGATTTACAGCGGACATAGGGATAGGGTTACGAAAGATGAATCTATGGTAAAGTGGGTTCATATATAAACTTTATAACCTGGTGGGTTATGAACTGGTGGGTTTATATATATATAATTATATACATATATATATATATATGAATCGATGGGTTATGAATCTATGGTTCATATATAAACCAGCAAATATACCCTCTGGTAAACTAACATTGCTATGGAAAATCACCATTTTTAAGTGTAAACATCAACTATTTCTTTGGCCATTTTCAATAGCTATGTTTGTTTACCAGAGGGTAACCTGGTGGGCCCCAAAGAACTTTGGCTACCCTCCAATGTCAAAGATGGCCAGAATTCCCCCAGCAAAACCAGTATAACCTCCATGGCGGATCCTGCGGCTGGGTATGGAAGCCCAACTAGGTCCAACAATGGGCTGAACCCGCTGGTTATTTGTGTTGCTAAACTCGAAAATCACCATGTTTAGTAGCTAAATCATCATAATCACAAATCATAATCTATAAAACTAAGTGGGTCATGGTCATGTTCCACAGCAATTCCTGTAACAAATAACCAGAGGGTAACATGGTAACATGTTCGCAGTGTTTCGAAGGATGCTGGGATGAGGGTTTCGGCAGGTAGTTACCTGGTCCATTTTTCGCCAAAACTTCTACCAGGTTTACCAGGTCAATAAAGGAAAGAAACAACGCTGCGCTTTTTTTAGCTGCTTGGTGGTTGATAAATGATGGCTAATATACTGTTAATGGTTAATATATGGTTATTATATGGTTAATGATGGCTAATAACTATATAACTGCTTGGTGGTATACCTACC